GTACTCTTCCCACTACGGGTGTCAACCATGGTGATAGGTGCACAACCAGACAATGGTTCCACTCCTCACCACTTAGACTCTACTCCCCCTGACTAACAAACCTACTGACTCAATTCTAAAGAACCACAGAATCTTGGACAAGATTCTGTCAACTAGGGTCACTAGCCTAGACCTAAACCATGGCTGTCACTACAGGACTTCACTGCTGTCAGGAGGCATTTAAGGAGATCCCCCATAACTCCTCAAGAATTCTTTAACGTCGCAAATAGGACGACGCGATCAGCAAGTCCTCTTAAGACGTGGATGGCCTGTTGTGCAGCCCACAGCTCGAATTTTGGGCCTACCATGGCACACCGAGCAGCCCGCCGGTCAGTACCGGTCCTTGGGAGGGTTCGTGTCCTCTGGGACAATCGAGTCGTCAGACACAGTCTTTAGCCCTACTCAGCCCGTGTGGGTTTGGTCAACAAGGCCCTATCCTTCATCCACAGAGTTCCTATCACTTGGACAAAAGAGACTCGATGCAAAAAGAAGAGACTTACAGACTTGACTCAGCAAGTACCATAGGGTGTGTGCAAGGGCGAGGGGATAGGCTGAAGGCTTGGCGAGATTATACCGGTTCCAGCTTGGTCAAATTCGTGGTCAACTATCTTGGTCAACGCTTGGTCAATGCTCCGGTCAACCCCTGGTCAACTCCCGAACAACGCCTGTCAAACCCGGTCAACACCCGGTCAACGCCCGATCAACGCCCGTCAACTCCGGCTATGGCTGCCGGCTTCTCTCTCCCTCACCAACCTTCTCTTTCCTTTCTTCTTCCTCGCCGCCTTCTTTCACCCCGGCTATCTTTTCTTCCTTTTTTTTCTTCTTTTTTTTTGTACTCGTCTTTGTCCTTCCTCCGCTTCACTTCTCTCCTTTCCTTAGTCTCCCCGCCCGTCTCTCTCACATCACACTTCTTCGTCACTTTGTGGTTCGAGCTCCGCGGCTATGGCCTCCTACTTCGTGGATCACACAACGATCTTCGAGGTACATGACATCCAATCTTCTCTCTCTCTCTCTCTCTCTCTCTCTCTCTCTCTCTCGCCGTTGTCTCCTCGCAGGTCGCGCGGCGTCGGTCTTCACTTCACGGGCCGCTATGGTGGACTTCTTTCCAGCGGCGCACTTTGGCTAGGGCGCCCTGCCAGACGCGCAACTCTCCCCTGCGACACTCGGCGATGGCGCGTGGAATAGCGGGTACCAGCTCCGATACCAATGCAATCAGACTTGCTATCTTTCACACTTCTCATGCATGCAAACAGGTAGCCGAAAATACAGTTCAGATACAAGTTCACTTCTCATGCATGCAAACAGGTAGCCTAAA